AGGTGTTAGATACGGGGGGTTCGGGCTCCCCGGGGCTGTGCGGGGGGGTCTGCCCGCCCCTCGCCCTGCCACGGGGAGCAGGGCCCTCTGGCCGCTCCTCCTGAGCCTGCTGCCCCTGGGTGTGACACAGGTGGCAGGGAAGGGAGGTGCCAGAGATCCTTGCCCTCGTGCTGGTGATGTTTCGCCTTCAGACTGTTTTGTGTTCTTTCTACATCGACAGCCCTAGATATGGAGTTCACGGGCCTGCATTCGGCTTTCCCGCGAAACAACGAGCCCAGGTAAAGCTGTTGCACTTGAAATGGAGACTTGCTGCTCTGGCTGCATGAGAATGACCTGTTGGTTGCAAACCCGGTTCCCACTCCCCCCAATTCTGGTTCGTTGCAGCCTGTTTGACTCCCCTGCGGAGCGGTACCTGAAGGCCCGGCAGAGCGTGCAGCGCTTCACGGTCACCCAGCTCGGTGAGTCCCCCCGGCCCTCAGTGGGAACGGGCCCCTTGCACACTGGTAGCCCCGAAGGTAGCTCTGGGCTTAATTCACTTGTTACAGAGACATTTGTCTGCTGGGGTAGAGTTTTCTTTTTCCCCTCTGATACTTAATACTGTCGACTTTTTAATAAGTTAAATAACATAAAGCCAGGTGGGATGAATTAAAAATGAAGCTGGGCTGAAGCTTTTCATACTTAAAGATTGCACATAGAACACAGGGCTTGTAAAACGGATCATGCACCAAAAGCAGGTGACAGCAGCTCACATTCAAGGCTGTTTTGTTTGATATGTGTATGAGAAAGGGCACTATTAGAGGAAAATGAAGGCTAGTATTTCTGATCTTCCTAAAATAACAAATCAACACAGGAAATGGCCTGTGGTGGTAGAGGGCTACTGAGAGATAGGAAACAGTTAAGAGGTCAATAAACAAGCACCAAAACTGTTTAAAATACTATTCAAAGCGTTAGGCTGTGTAAGATCTTAATGTGCTTTTGGGGGTTAATAGAAGAAAGGAACCTGAGTAGTAAAAAACATGTTTCAGTCCTCTGGTGTCTGGCTTTTTCAAAATGCTGTTGTAGTGTAGTTGGACCCACAGACCTGTGGTACACATAGTTGGAGATTTTCATCACCAATCCACCTCACACATTGCTCAACCTATTTGCTATTGAATCAGACTTGACTCCCTTTCTCACTTAGCACTAAAAGCTAGTCCCTGATCAGGTCTCGGGGAGCTGGGGAGTAGCCTAGCAGTTGCTGTTAAGATTTACACTGTGGCATTAGTGAATAGAAAGCATGCACTTAAGTAATTATCCCGGTATTGGTAGACATCCAGCTAAATGTTGCCCTTTCAACAAGGTTTCTCTCTTGCAGGGTTGGCAATATTCTCAAATGAAACTCCAAACAAGTAAGCAAAAAACAGTTTTCTGTTACAATAAAGACAACGGAGTTGTGGTTTTATGCAGAATTCCCTTAGGAGGGGTTATTTCTTGTAATTTTTAGAGAGATTTTTGATTTTATTGTAGGTACGTGGTGCATTCGTACAACTTTTTTCTCTTTCCC